CCCCCCCCGAGACCTCTACTAATTTCTAATCATCACAAGCAAGATTGATAGCACATGACTGGCAGTGCGGATTGATGCCAAGCAATAGAATACTCTCTGGTTGATAGCACATGGCGGGCAGTGTTTGCCTGTCATTGTAGGCTGGTAATGAGATTTATTGGATTCATTCAGCTGATTGATGCCAAGCAATAGCATACTCTCTGGTTGATAGCACATGACGGGCAGTGTTTGCCATTTGAGACAGCTATGGTTTTATTGCATAATTATTGTATTATATAGGTTTTACTACAGTCCATATCTTTTACTCCACAATCAAACTCTCACCTTCCTCTTTTGCTTTCCGTTCGGCTTCTTCTTTCTTCAGCTTTTCCTTCTCTGCTTTACTAAGCTTCCCGCTTTTGGGAGTCTTGCCTTTTGCTGCTGGCTTCGGAGGCTGTGGGGGAAAAAATATAGCAAAAATAGTCAAAAATCTTTGAGAAAACTGTACATAACTTCTGCCATTTCATGTTGACAACCACATAAACAAACGTTCATTTTACTGAAATAACTGGCTCTTTTTTTAATAAAATACAACATGCACTCGAAGAATTTTATCTTTGATTATGCTTGATAGTTTTGGTCTTGGTTTAGGATAATTTAGGGCATAAAAAATAGAGTTTTTCAAGCTCACCATTTTGAGAAATCCTGATATTTTTGCTCCTTAGCGACAGATCAGAGCCTGCTATCTTGAATACAGCGGATATTATAATAAGATACATGCGCATACCTCAAAACAAAATGGCGGACGACACGATGTTCTGTTAAAACATCTTACTAGTACAATTGATTGCATTTTGTAGGATATTTCAGGTAAAATAATAGTATTTGGTAACTCTATTTAAAAGAAGAGGCATGGAGGAATCAGTAATCATGGAATTGGAGAAATCGAAGCAGAATATAACGAAAAATCCTCAGTTGAAGCAAGCGTTTGGAAAAGCAAAGTTGTTCGAAATTCGGCGACTCGTTCGAAGTATCAAGCGACTTTCTGCTAAAAAGGGAACGACGCAACAGTTAGAGAAGAACAAGAGAAAAGTTTCAAGGCTTGAGAAGCAGTTAGAAATACTTAAGGACCTTCACGTGGACACGTTTGTTAAAGCTGCTTCTGCGAAGGCTCACGGAGATGAATTGAATTCCAGTGATTTGATGTCAGCAGATGACGAAGAAGACGTAGCTACGAAAATAATAGTTTTGGAAAAAATTATAAGCACTGTTGGTTTAGATAATATCAAAGATTTAGCAGCTACAGTAAAAAGAAAAGACACCAAAGTTAAGTCCAGCAAAGAAAAAAGAACAAAAACATCTTCCACTATTTCATCAACAATTCGTACGAATTTGCTTTTTGAAGATGACAAGGAGCTTGATATCTTCATAGCGGAGAAGAAAGAAGACAAGGAATTGGATGATTTTTTTAGTGATCCTGTTGTTTCTGATTGTAACCCAGTGGATTTTAACGAAAGCAGGGCTCACAAAAGGAGAAAAATACAAGTCGAAGATGAGTCTGATGATATCACAAGTAAAGCTTTTGACTCAGTTTTTGTGGGAAATTTGAAAAGTGGAAAAGGAAAGAAAAAAGTACAAAAAAATAAAAAGGGTTTTAAGGATAAAGAAAAGAACCGTTTAGGTCAAAGACAACGGAGAAAGCAATGGGAAAAGTTGTATGGGAATAAAGCTCTTCACTTGAAGAATGAGAAGAAAACACTAGAAAAATCAAGTGATGTTGATGAAAAGAAGAGAAGAAGTAAGGTACCACAGGATAAGAAAAAGCAGAAATTTGAGCCAAAGACCAGCTCGGCTTTGCATCCATCATGGGAAGCAAGCAAGTCAAAGAGAAAACAAGAATCAATAGTAGAGTTCAAGGGTCAAAAGATTACCTTTGAAGACTGAGAACCACATTTTATCAACCTTGAATAGAAACAAGAGGGAAGAAAAAAAGAAGACATTTTTGAAAACAATGTTTCATTTTAATGGCATTAATAGACCCCTTGCATGTGACGTCAATTAACTCAATTGGGAGGACATAACAAAAGAATTTCAATCTCCTGAGAATTGGAAACATATTGTTATGTTCTCCAAATAGCCCACTTGTGAGCTTTGCTTGTCACACRCAAAGGTTTCAGTACGAGGCTATGTGCTAAATTAAATTAATTCTTTTCTCCTATCACTGATCACCGAGCATCATGCACGAAGCCTCACATTGAAACCTGTGTGTGTGACAAGCGAAGCATATCTCGGAAGTGGGCTCTAATTGAGCTGCATTCCAACKTGCTGCAAGGGGTCTATAGGACCAGGCTYAAAATAGTGGCTGGTCAATAAAAATATTTTTTTTGGTCATAATGTGTACCTGTTTCGGCTACACTTTGTGTCATTTACTAACGGTCCATTTCTTGTAAACGGTTGATCATGAGAACAAGGCTTAAAATAATGGCTGATCAGTTGCTGGTCAAGACCACAGGCCAAACTAGTTTTATCTTACATGTATGTAAGTCATYCCTAATTTCTAGACTTTACTAGTCAAAATGACCTGCAAGGCAAAGATTTAAGCAGACGAGTACCAGTTCCAGCTGGACATTGCCTGATGTCTGGCCATTTATCTTAAGCCCTGGAAAAGACATAAATATTGATATAACTCAAACAACTTAAAGAAAATGACACATGGTCTGAAATGGGAAAAGAACTATAGGTAAAGAGGTCTATAGTCAACACTAGACTGTATGCCAAAATTGGGTAGCATCTTGGAGTATGGGTTAACCAAGTTTGTCGTAGGTTTCCAAAYACATGAGTGGAACTTACAAATTTTTTGAGGATTTTGGTTCTCCTCACTTAGAAAAAAGAAAAGAAAAATTCAATGTGAGGCAAGATTCGAACCCGTCACCCTTGACAACAAATGACATTACAATTCTTATCCGCCCCTAACCGAAAACCTAACCACTCATCCACGGAGTGAATTCACTTGGATGCTTTCAAAATTTTGTTACATTTACAGTGCAGATACTCTAACCATGAATACTTCAAGGTTTTTTTTKACATTTTTTCAACATTTTTCAAACTTTATTTAATGCGTTATCCAATCACGACAATCGTTAGGAGTTCTATGTTTAGCTTTCTCATGGGAACTACTGAAAAACTAAATCACATCAATTATATCGTGTGTTCTGATTGGATGATGCCTAAAAGTTGTTTCATTCTAGGAAATTTTTGTATCCGTTTCCGGAAATTTTCGAAAACGGTCTCCAGAGTGGAAATTTTCGAATACGCTCCG